TCATGTGCCAGCTTGGCTCAATGACACTTGAGGAAAAACTGAAAAAGTTTTATAAACTACCTCTCCAGCACCGGGAATAGGGTCCATATTTTAGATTATAACTTTAAACAGATAAGGCTCTGGACGTTTCATTTCAGCGACTTATTAAGTCTGCATAATTGTGTTTCGTTTAGTTCGTATACGAACTATAATTTGTGGAGTTATTCGTCCCATATAAACTTAATAGCACTTGAATGCGTAGTCTTTGGGAGTAGAGTATAGTATATCAATCATATAACAATAACAGTTACAAACTTCGCAACGATTTACCGAACATTTTTATTATGTGTTACATTTTAAATTATTAATTTATTGCTGTTTAATTGAGAAATTTATTGAATATGATAGAAAAATAACTAGCGTGTCCAAATATTATATGGTAATATACTACAGCACTAAAATTTTGCTAAAACAAATTGTGACTGAATCTTACGTTTTTTGCCTATTGCAAATTGACAGGAATAGAATAATGGATAAAATTATACAAATAGCAAAAAATGTAACCAGTTTCCACCTCTTTAGTTTATTATTTGAAGCTATTTTATTATTCATCGGTTATTTAATTTCAGAATCATAAATTTACATTAAACTTAGAGAAAAAATATATTTTCATGTCGGTACAAAAAAAATCATGTCGCGCGAGCATTACTACCTGCCCATCTCCGAGAAAATCGCTTTAACATGTAACATGACGTCTCGATCGTATTTCCAATAGAAAAAAAAAGTATAGGTATTCAAATTAGTATCTGGTGTATATCGACTTTGATGTGACAGACATGTTGAGCAGGGTGTCTTATGGGCATCAAGATATTCCTGGTACCGCTTTGACTGCGATTCGATCTTCACATTATTTCCGGTACGTTTTATAAAGTAAGCTAAGATCACTATAGAGTTCACAACCAGTTTGGCGTTAATGTATACAGAAGCAATAGAAATAGCCAGGAGATTGGCGTCATTTGCCTTGAGAAATTAATACCAAGTGCCGATTTTATTCTTTAAGGGATATCACACCCTCCAAGTCGGAACGCGTAATTGATTCACGGCATAAATAGGCGGCACAACATACGACTTTATTTCATTATGGAAAAGGTTCATGAATACGTGTTAAGTACGTATTATATTTGGGAAAAAAAAGTACCTGCTTACGGTACTTGAACACTTGTATCTCAATGCTTGTTAAGAATATACCGAGAATCTATACAGTAGTCTCGATGTTGCCTAGGGTTGCTAAATATCGAACAATACAATAATAAACAATATATAATAAAATAATTGACTACCGTAAGTTAGACAGTCTACATTCAACGTAACGCACACTATTCTATCTAATTGGAGTATAATATGTACCATATTATCGCAAATTCAGTATTAGAATACCAAATGTTATAAACAAGATAAGGGATCTAGATCTAGAACGATGTGTAGTTGTTTTTTAGATATTTCAAACACCGAGAATTGCGACAAAAGCAACGCCTATCGTCAATTCAGATGAACGTGACACGATCGTAAAGAACCAACAAAGTAGTGAGAACATCGCGAAGCTAATCCTCATTTCAGATGCAGTACTATCTTGGTTAATGCTTAAGGCCACTTCTTTAGCATCTGCATAGTTTCCGGCAGCGAGACAGCGGACTGCTATGACATCCGCACTTGCTTTTTATGGCTTTTATTCGTTTTTATTTTCTCCAACTGAGTAGATGGTTCGCGTTTTAATGCGAACTTTCATGTTACGACACTATCATGTTCTTGTGGAGTAAGATGTGTTTTATGTCACCTTCAAAGCACTCGGTAAAGTAGACTCTATGTGTGTAACAATTTGCACCCTCACACAATTGAACTTTAAGACCAGTAAAGAATTTTCCACAGATTAGTTAACCGTTTGTTTTGAAGTTGTCCAGAGTTTTCGAAAAACTCGAAATTGGGGGCAGAGTATGTTGGAAAGTTAGTTTTTAATTAATTAATGTTCTTGGCATTGCACAATTTGTATCGCGGATCAAAAGATGCGCAGATTGTACCGTCTCGAGGGAAAGCAAGGAACGATTGCCTGTTGATTTTGCCTTACAAAGCAGGTTCATAAAATTAGAAGATTATTGAAAACTTTAGTATTTTATTTCCATTTCAGCTTCAAGACGCTCACTTTAGTTCATAAACACTAAGGTATTTTTATTTATTTAACGTATTTAAGCACTTATCAAAAGTTCGTAGAAAAAAGTATTTAAAACAGACCAGACTGAATAGATATTTCCCCATAATTCCGCATAAACTAAAGCATTACATCCTAACGTCTATTTCAATTTTGTGTTATCTATATACATACTTCGGCAAACGTTTTTGGGCGTATATTTACTTATACTATGTTGTATTTTGATGATAATATGGGAAACGAAAGCTACGTTCTTAGGCAAATAGACGTTCACGTATGTACCTACTTTGCAAACCACATTTTATATGTAAATGGGCTTTTCCGTTTGCAAAGTGCTCCTTTCTCCGAGGTGATCTTATGACGGTGACATAAAATGAATTTTATGTCGCTTTGGACGCGTGACTACGTCACTCAAAAACTAAGCTTATTTGATACTGTAGACGCGGAGGAATATATACAGAAACCACGATAGGTGTATATTTGGCACACGGGAAGAACATGGTTTGTTGTATAGCATTTTTTACTCAAGTGATAATATATTTAAAAAATAAAAACTCTAACTGAAGCTAATAAATAAAAAAAATGGATTATGACACAGGGCTGGGGATTAATTTTGAAACAAAAAAACGAAATAATTGAAAAGCGTTATCCAAAGCTTCTACCCTTTTGACTATAACGGGCATACTAATATGCCCGTTATAGTCAAGTGAACAAAATCTAAAGTGTTACTAAATATTCTTTTAAATTACGAAGTCATTATTTTATTGGATCTATACTTTATAAATATATTATAATTAAAAAAAGAAAAACAATAATAGAAACATGTAACAGAATCAAGCCCACAAAATTTATAAATTTTATTGATGATACGGCGTCTTGGAAGCCCGTACGTATATCAACTGCAAAGCTGTCATTAGAGGTTGATTTGAAGGATAGGACAGTCGTTATATAATATAATTGAGATTTCGACCTCATGTCTCAAGATAGGTAGTGCTATTTACATTAGGATGATGACGAGATTTAACACCAGTCAATAAAATAATTCAGTGAATAAAGGCTATTAAAAAAATGATAGACGGCTATGGTAAAAGTAAAAAGACCCCATTTAAAGTGTTAACATACTTGTTTTTTTTTTTAATTTACTTTAACCACAAATTCTTTATTGACGCAAGCTTCATTTAAGTGAAATGCTTAGTACGGCGTGCAAAGACGAAGGTTTTACGACTTTTTTTGAGTTTTTAAAATAATTCAAAACATGGCGTCGTGGCCCTTAAAAGTTTTTATTGATACCGCAGCGGTCTCCGAACAGCGGTCGTCTTCAGCGAAATTATATTGGGGAACTGCTTCCGAGGCAAATGAAATGAGAAGCCATTGTGTGACATATTTTTCTACAATTTAGAAATCAAGTGTCACAATCTTATGACTTTAACAACTGTATCACGGTATACGAGTCCAATCTCGGTTGGAGTGAATAAAGATTAAGCATGTTTGAAATTCATCGTCTCGTCATGTTTTGGTTCGTTGTTAATATTATACTCCTACGTCTTATGAGACAATTATTTACTTTCCTCTTTTTAGAACTCCATCCCATACGTTTGTTTAAAAGAACGTTAAAAATAATTTTACTATCCTGTTAACATAATGTGACTCCCCCCCCCTTGCGTCGGTTTCCTCATTACTGAGGGTCGTGGTCATGGCCTTGAAACAGTTTGTTTTTTATAGTGCACCGCCATCTGTTCCTATCTGCAGCTGAGTGCAGAGCATCGTGCACTGTGGTATCCAGGGCTGCACGAATCTGGTCCGTCCAACAGGTCGGGTCCTGCCTCTTGGTCGCTTGCCCTCGACCTTTCCAGTGACCATCAATTTCTCCAAGTTGTCACTGTCTTTCCTTGCGATGTGGCCAAAGTATTCAAGAATCCTTCGCATGCATATTGTGACTAGATCATCGAAATATTTGCCTTGAAAATTTAACGTGAGTGATACTAGGCCTCAGGCAAGTTCAGATTATTAGTTATTCATTTAGAAGCTCTTCGCTCATTTTCTTTGTGTCAACGTTAGTTCGTTTCCTCTTTTGTTTGCACAAAACGGAATCGCGTCAAGAATACAAAATAAAGTCATTATTGTAAATACTGCACTCATTATTCGAAGAAAGGAGTTGAAATATTTCATCCCCTCGCAGAATTAGAATTCCAGCCACGGTTACTTTAAAAATTTCCCTTCTTTCGCTGAGAAATAAAGGCGTAACGCCTGCTCGTTTTAATACTTTACACAGTAAGGAATAATAATGAGATAACAATATCCGAATTTACAATGGCTTGTAAATATTAATTTCTATTTTGTTTCTCGAAGTTTTGCGATATCGTTAAGCGGCTCTTTTTTTTTTGAGGAATAAATTGGAAGCATTTTTGATTGACAGTACATTTATAGGAATGTGCTTAAACTGACAGCCGGTGGTAGGAAATATTAGCTCGACCCACAAGCAATTATGTATTCTATTGCAGCGAGAGTATCTTAGTTAAGGTAACCATTCAGTGTGAGCACGTATGCTCATCTATTATAATGAATATAAAGAAATGATTTTAGTATTTAAGTTATATTTGTATGTATATTTTATATTTGTATGTAGCGGTAGGCAGCGGCTTGGCTCTGCTCCTGGCATCGCTGAAGTCCATGGGCGACGGTAACCACTCGCCATCAGGTGGGCCGTATGCTCGTACGTCTGCCTAAAGGGCAATAAAAAAAATATTGACGTACACACACATGCAGACATACATATATACATACAAGCACTTCTTTAGTAAAATATTTTCGTGCTCACCGTCGTGGGAATCATACACGTATATGACGTTCTTCCAACCATAGAAGGTGATGGTGTCGATGACAGCTCGGTGGTAGTCCGGTCGCATGCTGACGGCATAATCGATGAGGCCCGATGACGGTGGTATAACCTGTATGAACATTTTGTTTTTAGTATAAGAAACTTCCACAGTGCAGAGATCTTGTTTGCCACGTGCCATTCGGCTTTGGAATGAGCTCTACTAAATACGTACTATGAATCTGTGTTTTTATTGCTTTGTTAGCCTAACAAGAATACGCCTACTGGTACGCTGGCGGTAAGCTATCGCCCATAGACATCCGCAACGCCAGGGGCACAGCCAAGTCTCTTCTCCAAATCTCTTCCTGTGGTCATGAACTAATTCCACGAGATAGGAATAATATCGTATCATAAAAACCAATCCATCAAAAATAAGCATCCTCGTGGCAAGATGTATTGTGAACCCAACGTCTTATTTCTACGATGAATAATTCAGATGTTCCAATTTGAATAGTAGGACAGTCGTTTTTCCAGTGCATGTAAGACTTTGATCTGATGACTCAGAATAAAAGATATTTGGATTGCAGTAAAAAAAAAGTAGTTTTTCAAAATTAATAAGAGTGTTTTAACAGGAAATCTTAAAGGAATTAAAATATCTAAATTTTTTAATTCCCGGTTTTTTGGTCAAGTAACGTGATTAAAATAACGAATTCTAGTATTGCCATTGATCTTTATATTGGTGCGAATTTAAAAATTGATCGGTTTTATTGCAGTTAGTGAAAATAACATTAAAATTTTTCTTGATTTAAAAAATAATTGACGACAGGTTAAGTGTTAAAATACTTTTTGTTAAGGAGCCGATTTTTTTTAAATCCTCTCAGTCTAGATATGAGATCAAAGTCATTTGTAAAATTGTTGTATTGCCATCGGTTTTTTATTGGGTATTAAAAATGTGTTAAAAGTATTAGTTATAGCATTAATAATATTTATTTACATTCTGTCAATGTTTTACTATTGATAACGAGTAAGTATAACTTTTGGCCAAACGCATTTTCAAAAGCTCGATTTAAAATAAAGTAGTTGGGACGGTCGTATTGGTAACAATCAAACTGATAATGTATCAAAACTGCACAAAATACATTTAATATAAATAATCAAAATTAACACCATCCGTAATTATGTATTATTAGTACACATTGTATTAAAATACGTTAAAACTTATGCTTACTCATCATCAATAATAAAACATTGACCGAACGTATAAAATAACTAGCTGTACCCGTCCGCTTCGCTGGACATTTAAAATTAACATTATTATTTCTCACCCCCACAAAGATTCTCATCCTTAACGCCCCCGCAACTGGTGTAGGGAGTCCAACACTCATATAAATATTAGCCTATCCATTAAGTACATGTATTTTATACATGGATACTAAGCTTCAAGTCAATCGGATGCATGGTTCTGTAGTTATAACGCAACATCCGTAAACACCACTGTAGATTTATATATTATTATAGATACAAATTTACTGATGGTGTTGTTTTTGACGAGATTTTTGATCAATCGGTCTAATCAGTCTAACAAAATTCTGCCATGCTGCCAAATTTTGCCATGCTGTAGTAACTACTTACAAATAAGATGATATCACGTAATACGAGTAGTGATCTACTTTCATTACATTTTATATAATTATTTGGGCTGAATATAATGTTTTGGATTTGGTATAATAAATTGATGATTTAAGTAAAGTAAGCTTTCAGGCGAAAGCGAAGGCGAATGTGATTTTATATGGGTCACAATAAGCTAGGCTGTAGTGAAAGCCTCCCGGAACACTTAAAGCTACAAATGCAAATGTATAACTGGCCCTTGATGCTGATCTAGTCTCTAGGTTTAGGAGGAGGAGAAAATTAGGAGGAGAAAGAAGCCCCTTTGAATGTACTGTGTGTCTGGGCATTTTAGGCAGTAAAAACACTCAGTTATCGGAGAGATTCTCGGAGTTATCTCAGGAGGTAAAGAAAATATGTTCAACTAAAATAATCCAGTCTATACCGGATTTGGACTTGGACAAAGATATCTAAGACATTGCGCAGTGACGGATTGGTTTGTTATAATCCCATTGCTCCTTGTGAGCAATGATATTTTTTATAGTCCTTAGGTGAATATACGGCCCACTTGATAGTGAGTACCATCGCTTACGGAAGTCTCCAATCCCAGGGACAGAGGCAAACCGCTACCAGCTTATGATCGATAATCCCCTAATCCCCAGGATGATAATGGATTTCTTAATTATTATCGTGTCAATATTATTTTTAGGTTTGGCGATGTTTATAATATGTTATCAAAGTTAAGGCTCGACTAGGCGGAGCCCGATGACTCGCATTGCTCGGACCTAAAGTGTCAATTTCCTAAATGAAGTTTTCCTTCGGAAATGACTGCGCGTTACCGGTGAGTTAACTTAGGGTCAGGTGTTTTTACTTTAACTCGTTCTAACAGTCGCATTAGATATTAAAATACGACTGCATAATATGTCAAAGGTAAAGTGTGTGCTCCAATTATGAAAGAAACATTCGAATTTGAATACTTATGTACATATCGACGCTTGAAAGGCAAACGTGACTAAGCGACAATGCGTGAACTTTACAGTAGACTAATTTAAAGTTGAAATACCTGAAAAAATACAATAAGCACGAAATTTTAAACAAAAGAAAAGATGTGGTGTCGTGGGACACCAGGTAGGAACGAAGTTCCTTCGGCTGATGTAGAATCGACACAATTTGCAAAAAAAGAAATGGTGCTCAATTTTATGTAGGTTTTCTTGGTTTTTCTCTTAAATTTTGCTGATTAGTTTTTATTTAAGTACGGGAAAGTATTTAGGAAATTCAGTATTTTAGGAAATAATAAATTACGTAAAATAAAAAAAAATAGTAATTCAAATTATCAATTAAAATAACAAAATATATCTCTTTATTTTTGGTTGACAACATAAAATTACATAGAAATAGAAATAATTACTAAATAGAGAGAGAAGGGATTAGAGAACGAAAAGAAAGAAGGAGAAAGAGAAAGGTATTATACACTACTCGCTTGTGTATGCGACTGTCGCGCCTGCGCACGTCTCATTTAACGGTTTTATTCCACGCACTTTTTTCCACGGATTTTTCCACGCACTTTTTTCCACGGATTTTTTCTTACGGTTTTACTATAACATTTTTTTCAGTTCGGTCGCGCAGCAAAATCCCTATCCCCTCCAAGCCTGCCGTAAGGAACTTCGTTCCAATATATATTTTAACGAATCTAGCAGTAGTAGAATCTAGCTAGTAGTTGTAGGATTGAAATGATTTTAATAGACCTAGAAATATATTTTTTTGCGCATTGAATATTGCCTATCATTTATGTACAAAGCAGCTATTGTCGCTTAGTCACGTTTACCTTTCGAGCGTCGATATATACTTTCTGTTTACTCTGATTTACCAATTCCAGATCTATTATTCTCTAGGAGGATTGACGGTTAATCGTTTTTTAGTTAAATCAAATCAAATCAAATAATTTTTTTTTATTCAACATAAATACACACAAAGTACACACTTGTTGAACGTCAAAAAGAACTACGGCCAATTCACAAAACTATCTTCCGTCCTGAGAACAACTGGCAAGAAACTTAGCGGGTATGCTTTTTGTTTTAAATATTAGATTTTTTTTAAATATTCATTTTTACAAGAGGTATTATAACGTAACAATTATTGCAATATTGAAATGCTCGGAGTGAGCAACTCATTTCCACTCCAAATCACCACTCCGAATCCCACTCCAAATCAGCAATACCAATACAAATACCATATTACTGGTGGTAGGACCTCTTGTGAGTCCGCGCGTGTGGGTACCACCTCCCTGCCTATTTCTACCGTGAAGCAGTAATGCGTTTCGGTTTGAAGGTTGGGGCAGCCGCTGTAACTATACTGAGACCTTAGAACTTGTATCTCAAGGTCGGTGGCGCATTTACGTTGTGGATGTCTATGGGCTCCAGTAACCACTTTAACACCAGGTGGACTGTGAGATCGTCCACCCATCTAAGCGATAAAAAAATATACAAATACCAATATTTGAAGATGCAGATGACGTAATGTCCAAGAAACGCTAGGAGAACCTCATTCCAGTACCAAAACGACAAAAATAATTTCTGGAAATGAACTGCACACCGGTGGCGAGTAGAGAAGTAAATGTGCCAAAATCATCGCAAGTAATTTCTCTTGCAATTGTTCGCTTTTGAAAAAAAAAAGCGACCGATATTTTTACACTTCAACGACGTTTCCGGTATATTCGTTTTCTACGTTAAAACATATTCCGTGTTGTTTGTTCATATTTAAAAAGTCTACTCTTGTAGGAAGAAACGTCGAGAAATATGTGTTTTTGATATTTATTCGTACTTTGCACTGAACGTACAAAGTTACGAGCGTTGACAATCCTACATGCAAAGAGTATTTATTTAGTGAATTATTAATTTGCAACAAAACATACGGTGATTCCATGAAACTTCTGAAGAAAAGAAAAGGAAATGATATTCTCCTTCAAGATACGTTTGCCAGTAAATCTACAAAGTAACAAAAAAAGTTGTTTTTCGTTTTTCCATCTCTATAAGTGGGCTTAGAGTCCTAGGGTAAAATTATTAATGTGGAACCAGAAATTTTCAAGTACCCACGATGTATGAACAGTTCACCTTTGAAACATCGTAGGAATTGCTCAAAATTCAAAAATAAAATCTAGTATTAAAAAAATGGACTACACATATGTATTCAAAAATATATTGTTTCAGTTAATAATTGACCATTAAAACTGTTTTTTTATTGCTTAGATTGTTGGACTAGCTTACAGCCCACCTGGTGTTAAGTGGTTAATGGTGTCCATAGACATCCACAACGTAAATGCGCCACCCACTTTGAGATATAAGTTCTAAGGTCTCAGTATAGTTACAATTTTTAGTTACAAGTTTTTAGTTACAAGCTTTGGCTTTACCTTTTCAGGAAACCAGGGGGTCACGAACGGCATCTGGAAGGTGTTGGAATACGAGTGCAGAGTGTCGAAGGAGTCCGGAGTTACAGCTCCCAGCATCGCCATTACCCCACGTCCGAATTGATTGCAGACTGCAACAAAAATATAACGTTAAGCTTAAAATATAAAATCGCAGTTAAAATTACTAAAAAAATGACATGGAACACAACAAATATTAAATACAAGATGGTCGCCACTAGACGGAGAGCTATATTGCTTAACTACGAAATAATTTGAAGGACGAAGAAGGTCTTTGGCCTTTGGTACCGCTGTGTTCCATCCCGTGGTTTGGATATTTGGGCGAAAGTGTAGGAAAGTCGATTCACATGAATCACTTCGGTAGACCCAAAAAAGAGGAACATACCGGAAGAGATTCTTCCTCAATTCAAAAAATTTTGATGACTTCCATATTCTAACATCATGATCATTATCAGCCTTTATCTGCCCACTGCTAGACATAGACCTTCCCCAATGCCTTTAACAGAATGCGGTCCTCCGCCTTCCGCATCCAACGAATTCCCGCCGTGCGCACTAAGTCGTCGGTCCATCTAACAACGCCCGTCTAAATTTGATTTAAAAATAAAAACTTGATAAACAGCTTATAGCGCACTGTTGCATTTATTTTTGTTACATACATACATTCTATAATTAAAAAAATTTCGAATACCGCACTATTTTATTGGTCATAGTCGTTCATAATGACGAAAAATTACCTAAAAATGATTAATTAAAAACACGGTTAGACTGTAAACGTTTCTTAAATCGATACAGTAGATTTCTCAATTTCGTTTCTTCTCACAGCTCACCGGAGTCGCTTTAAAATAAAGTTACTGAAGGCATTGGATATGAGTTAACTTTGTGTCTATCTAAAGGAAGTTTCCCATTCAAAGGATCGTATTTCCAGTGCAACACTTGAAAACTTTAATCTCAGGTCATAAGTTTGTTTGCATCTTGTATATATTCGTGCACCAAAATAGCTGGGACGTTATATTTTATGATTGAAAATTTTAAATCGAGTGAAGAAAGTTGTAATGTGTTAAGCTCTACTCGTGCGGCGATTCCGAATATGAGGAGTGTCTGTTGCTAATGGGTGAAACGACCGGGATAGTCGTGGCACGTGATGCTATTTTACCCGGAAACAGAAACTACGGCACGAGTTACGTATATGTAGATTTGGGATCGTGGTACATAAAATAAAACTATTCCACTGTTCCAAAACCTTCTGTTATTATAATTAAAAATTATCTGATACCTTTTTTTGGAGTTTACTCCTTTAGAATCGATTTACATATATAGGCCCGGGGTATGAAAATTATGGGGACCAAAATCGTACTAGCATGTCACACGAAATGCGTTATGCGCCTGATTGGCTCCTGATTGCGTGATGCGTGCGCGCGCCAATCAAAATCGTACTAGCATGTCACACGAAATGCGTTATGCGCCTGATTGGCTCCTGATTGCGTGATGCGTGCGCGCGCCAATCAGGAGCCAACGCGCGGCCGCGTTATCGCAGGTGACGCCGGGCTGCTGCGCCGGCAGTCCGCCACAAAGCCTCGTACTGATCGCGCGTTTCTCTCGTTATTGTATTTTCATATATTTGTTAGTCGTTTGTTTTGTGTCTCGTTAATTTGTTAATAATCTGTAGTGTATCGTGTTGTCGTAATATAGAACTATTTCTCGTATTGTTTCGTTTAATTTTTTATATCCAGTAAACTCCAGTCGTGCGTCGGAGCGGACACACACACTTTTTTTTTATGCTTTGCTCATTCAACCGTCTTCGCCATCTTTCTTTTTCTCTGTCTTTCCGTCTGTCATTTTCTTTTCCTTTTCTTACTGTTTTCTCTCAATCACGTTTTAACGCTTCGTTCCGCGCTCTTTCCATATGTTCCATTCTTACCAATCCTACATGTATGTAGCACATATTCACGAACAATCAAACGCCGAATATTTATAGTTTGCATAATAATATTATAATGTGCCCACGCATCTGGGTACTGTTTGCACCTATTTTTATCACAGGACAGTTAAGAAATCTCTGCAGGCCGCGTAGATTGGGGACGAGCATTATGTTGTCACGTCTATAATGTTATTAAAGTAAGCTTGTAATTCGTTTGTCTACTTATTGCATAAAGTTGTTACAAAATTTCCAAAGAACATCATTATATACCAGAAACTTTGTCTATAGCTCGTAATGAACATACTCGTAGATATAAGATTGTGATTTTTTATTTATTGCTTTTGTATCATTCAGCGATGCCAGAGGCAGAGCCAAGACGCTGCTTACCATTAAGTACTCTCCGCAAGCCTCATTTGAAGATGAACATGTCATAGCGCTTGGGCAAAACCGTGGAGGAGAGTTAATTCCAAAGCCAGATGGTACGTGGCATAAAATATATTTGGAAATACACTGTCGATGAACGCCGCGGTTCCAGATAATATGAATGACCTCAGCTCCGACGCTGGGAGAAGTGATGATAAAAAGGAGATGAGGAATCACCTCGAATAATTCCTCAGGGCATTCCCCATGGAACATATGGTACAAAAGAGAGAGAGAACCGAAGTTCCGCCGTAGACCCAGAGGTTCCAAGCGATTCGCGAGAACGGGACTATCGACGATCCGAACAGTCCGTTTCAAATGGAAATAGCTGGTATTTGGGAGCCCCAGCCCAGAGGCGAGAGTAGTACTCCATGAGAGGCCAGACTTGCGTTTTACAAAGCGCAAGTCTTTGCCCAGGCGTGAAATGCAACTTCGCTCTGTCGAAGTCTCTGTCTTTAACTTCCAAAGGATTACAATACTGAACACCGGCAGAAATATCGACCCCCAGAATCCCTATACTCGGGGAAAGCTGCAGGGATACTCCTTGAAATTGCGAAGCTATGACAAAAGAGTCCTTCTTCGCAGTGAACGCGCAAACTTGTGTCTCCAATGGGTTGAACTGAACAGAATTCAGTGGCGTTAAAACAATACTATAAACAATATTGAAATCAAATGCTAAACATTAAGATAGTATCTGAAGTAAGGAACTACATACATAACGGTGGCTCTCCTCTAAGTTGTATTTGTATTTTGACTAACATTTATTACATAGACGCGTTTATTTTGTTCCTTGTAAACAATTTACAAAATTACAATTCACGAATGCTGTCAGAAAAAGCGAATGCACTACGTATTTGGAATTTAAAATTAATGCTATGATTAAACATTACGATGATTAATCGTTCGCAGCGAGTCTCAATTACAAATAACGATGTTCAGGTTTAATTCAGTTTACCGACTCGATAACGAGGGCTAATTATATTATTGTTGACTTCGTTATTTTTATTGCAAACAACGCTTAAAGTTGTGTTTAAACAGTAATGCACCGTCACATTTTCCAAATGAATATCGCTTATGTCGAAGTTTAATCAACAAAAATCCGTGGACCGCTTGTTAGTTTGTCATAGACGGTAATGAATAAATTACGCCTTTTTTTTTGGACAGGAGAAAATCGCCGGACTTCCGCCCTCCACTGGGAATGGAGGACGGGGCATGTCAGAGTCGACCTGATTAAAACCTCCTGTCGCTCAACAACCAACGTCCAAACCTTGAATGAGACAGAACTCATGAAAAGGCAAAGGGGGGAAAGTGAAGCGTTTAGTGGGGAGCACATCTCTCCCATCACCCTTCCCCTCGGGACGCTGGACCGGCGGTCGTGGGCGCTACGACCACCAGCCCTCTCGGTCGGCAGGCTATCCGAAGCCCGCCTAGATGGTGCCGGTTAGAGTGAGCATAAATTACGAATTACGCTTAAGCGTACGCTTAATTCATTACGTAATTCTTCTAATGCTCCCGCCTTTTTTGGTTAATGCGGCGATATTTTTTTTTATATCTTTCATCACCCCACCGGAAGAGACTCCAGTATCGGAAAGTGCGATTGCACATGCAAGCTGGTGTGAATCTATGGTTCAACTAAAGGACTTGTCGTGTCCTACTTGTATTCTTATTTCTCGGGATTGACTTAGGATTGTTATTTTGGCAAGAGCAGTTTTGGCTGTTAAGTATGGCTGTAGTTGGAAGGTTACGAAGGCATCTACTCATATGTTCGGCTTCATTTCTGCTTCATTTCTGAAAAAGCTCATTCTAGCTGCACGCATAATGTTTCAACTCATTGCCTCACCCTTTAAGTACAGCTATTAAGGCATGTTATAAGTAGGCATTATTCTCCTATTTCTGCCGCGGAAAGATAAGACATCACCAGGTAGGCCATTAGACTACCTTAATTGCATAAAATAAAACTGAGGGAAGAAAAAGATTAATTAAAATTTAAACGTTAGCAGTTTATCTCCGCCACGAAAATGTGTAAGTTGTAATGACCGCGAACATTCATAGTACTGTAATTAGGAGTGATTTCCCCCTTAATTTATGGCATGAAAACGGAAATGTTGAAACGTTCCGAATACAACAAAACACGTCTACAGCTTGTTATATGATGCTGAATTATAATATACGAAATATACGCACTTATTTAACGCATCGATCATAATATGTTTTTATTTTCATGTTTTGTATCCGGTAAATTAAAGAATAGCATTTTTATTTGTGTTCTCTTGTATTATGAAAAAAAAAAATATTGAGCCGTCACGGGACGCCTGGCAGATGTGAAACATCGACATTATTTTGTAAAAGTAATATGCAGAAAAGAACTGATTGTGATAGGAATTAAATATGTCATAGTGATAAAATAAAATATTACGAAAAAATAATTTGTTTTCAAGTAAAACACAGGTTATGTGTACTGTAGTAAACAACTGTTTACACTACGGAATATACACTATAGGTATCCGAGCTCAGTGTAGCGAGAGAGATGGCTTAACGCCGGATCGAGTGAGAGAGAATCGCACAGTCGATTGCGCATGGCGACGCGCCGCCACGGCATGCGTCGCCACGCCAGAAATCCGTTTTACTTGCGGCTATAGATGTTTCACATCAAAAAGATTGTCTAATTTGATAATAAACAAGCACTATAAGCACTAAAAAGCAAGCAGTTCTCAATAATCTGTAGAAAGGTTTAACGACATACAGAAATAAAAATATCTTTTATCAATTCTGAAC